TGAGACAATAAGTAAACAGAAATGATTCTCATACAGTGGTATGGTTGATTTCTTATTATGAGAGGAGAAAAGGAAAAGTGAAATCTGAATCTAAACCACATTATGTTTACCTCAGAAAAACATCCCGCACTTCAGGCAGTTTCCCGCTTGATTTTAGAGAGTACAAAAAGTTTAGCTTTACCCCACATTTTTTACAGTTTTTATTCACTAAAATGGAGGAACCCAAAAACAACTAAAGAGAGGCAATCCTGAAATTCCAGGGCTCCCATACTGTGCTCCCAGCAGCAACGGAAGCGTTTCTCCGTGCTAGAGCAGCTCTCACTGGGGAGGGCTCTGTACTGTAACATCCCCTACCATCTGTGTGCTGCCTGCCTGGCACGGTGCCTTCTGTGGCCTTTGCCATGTGTCTTGAGGTAGCTGTCACTAAGGAATGGAGACAAAGATGAAGGAACCACAGAAGGTCCCAATTTCACTTATACTTTTCACTCTCACTGCAGGTCCCTTCCCATGATGATTTAAAACATCTAATGAGATTCCCTTTGAAAATTTAAAGTAGCCTATACTTTCTAAAGTAGGAGGTGTGGATACCACTTCTTGCTGAAAGATACTTATTTATAAAAGGCTCAAACTACAGGTATTTTAAATATTTTAATGTTAGCCATACTTTCCTTACAACAATGAATTTGGAAGGTTGGGTGCGGGAATCTAAAGGAAAGGAGAAGAAAGCTATTCAGTGCTAGTTTGTAAGTGAGAAAATAATTTACTCAAGGTGCTACTGTAAATTATGCATCCACTACCTTCATACAATATTTGTGCTGGTTTCCCTTTTACAAAAACTCTTCAGTGACTAAAAACATTCTTTGGCAATTTATTCAGCGCATGATATTAGATTATGCTATTGGGGAGATGTCTTCAGGGAAACAGCCTTACATACAAGTGAAGAATTATGTTTCTCTCATCTCTTATGAATATACATCTATCTTTTGCAAAGAGTGAGATCAATTAATTTTAAGCCTATTTCTTTATTTATAAAGAAATAGCACCATAATCATTATACTGTATTCAAGACAGAAATGAACATTTTTATCTGTTCATCCATAATATGATTTAATTTTGGAGGCTAGGTGCCTCTGTTTCCTTGCAATGTAGGTTACTTAAGGAAATTCCATCCTAAAAATTGTTTAGCACACTATTTAGTATTGTTGGGGGAAAACATTATAAATAATAGAAATCAATCTTAGTACTGA